ACTTGATAAACAATCAGTGACGTAACAAGAGGAGGATGTATTCTCCCTGGGCTCTCCTTTCTCCGCCCTCTTCGGTCGCGCTTGTTGTCATCGCGTCGGTCGCGTCGCGCCACCCATATCATCTCGATATCTTATTAGCAGCAACAGCGCGTTAAAAACAGGGACGAACTGAGAGGGCACTTAGACGGACAAACACAGCGATGACTTCCAACCAATTTTACTAGAGGCAAATGCTTTACAAGTGGCATATAGGACTCTTCTAATTTGCATTAGACAAAGCGACAGCCGAGTTATAAACCACATCTGGGCCCACTTGTTTGAAACTTGTTAATTTTAACCGCAGCAGAAAGTTAACCGCATTTCTCTACAAGGAGGAATTTTGGGTCACGTGACCGGCAAAGCAGGGATGGCGGGGAAACATGGCAGTACCCCTCCCAGTGGAGGTCGCTTGCTTTGGAAATAATATGTCGTAGTCACTGCACTATCGGGCACGCGTGTCAGCAATAAATAATGCAGGAGGCTTTTGCTTTCGATTACATCACTTAAATCGCAAAGTATGAAAATGATATCGCCACATTTTTATTTTGTCTTTCGATTCTGGTCATTCCTAAGCCTAAAAGGACAAGTAGTTGTCGACTTGGCAATGCATATAGAATCCTAGTGAATTGTATTGAGTCGATGTCTCAGGTATTGATGGCACGCAGAAGGAGAACTCGAACCACTTTTAATTTGAGCCGAAATAAGCAATTTTTATTTTATGAAGAAGGTTTTATGTACAATTCAATCATATCGGCCAGTGCCGCTAAATAAGCTACGCTTCAGAATACCAAAGCCTACAAATCGTTTGGCTTGCCGGTCCGGTCATCCGGTCCATCCGTTTGTTAAAAAAGGATCTTGATCACCTTCAACCAATAAACAAAAGCAAGCATCCTCAGCATTCAGAAAAGGTAGGTGGCACAGGGTGATTACTTGTTGTGTAGTATGTACCATAGAAATAAACCAGAGAAAAGCAAATGGTGAACTGTGAGCTTGGAAATAATGTGTCACTTGTCTTTTTTTTCTGTTTTTCGGGGAATCAAATTATTTACAATCTTTCTTACCTGTGCCACTTATATATAATTGAAAATGGAGGGAACCAGATTTGTGAACATATGAAGAAAAACTATTTTCCTTGTACCGAACGACACTCCAAGTACAACTCTTATCCTACCGTAGAATACCATGCATCCGCCCATTCCACATTAAGCGCCGATATCCAAATTTTTAAGATCTCAGAAAATATGCACAGTACATTTATATGTAAAACTGATGACCAGGCAAGCGCCCATTCCCCATTTTTTTGCGATTATCTCTAAATTTTGAGTGGGCGCTTGCCTGGTATTTTACGGTAATACAGTGGCCTACAATTTAAATAAAGTAGTGTTGTATCCTGCATGCCAAAAAGATGCACAAAAGCTTGCCCAGTGTGATGCAGATGGAGACTGCGGGAAGCTCTTTGAGTTGAACATTGGAGATGCGTGTTACATTCTAAAAGTAAACAATGAAGCCGCCCCCTCCCCCCCCCCCAGTTCAACATCAAACCATATAAATATCTGAGCATGTTTCAAAGGCATGAAAGCACAAGTGGCTAATGTTTCCATGCATTAACAGACAAAATGTAATCATCAGTGGTGAAGCTTACAAAAGAACTGCTTGTGGCAGCTTCTGCAGCAAAAACATGGCTTTTGTAGCACCATATTTCATTTAATTTATTTCACACTGCAAACTTAAGGACATGACGTCCCGAAACCAAGACCACACGCAACGAAAACAGCACAACCAAGCACCGGGGCAGGATACCACTAGCAGACAATAGTTGCTTGAACGACGGCAAGTTAAAGTATTCAAATAACGAACCTGCAGCAAAAAGATGTCCGAGCGTTCCTTCATGGCTGTGGTAGCGTGCCTCGAATGACTGGCGTGGGATAGCGGCTTCTGTAGAGGCATTGTAGCTGAATACCAGTGCTGGCAGGCTCCTAATGCTCCCAACTTGAAATCCAACAAGATGGGTCCCAGGAACCACTGTTTTCCCGTGGTTGGCTCGAGAACAATCAATTTCGTGGCGTCCTGTGGTTCGTCCAGCATATGGGCCCCGTCATTGCTGGCGATGCTCAGAAGTATAATCTGCAGCGAAAAGATTCGTGAGTGCTTCATCACGGCTGTGGTAGCGTGTCCCCCACATTTGAGTTTTTGGAGCAGGCGATTCCGGTTTATCATTTTGTAAGAAGCGATGCAAGTACTATAGAAATTCACGCAGTTCCTCACAGTGTCATAAAAACTATTAAACTGCAATTATGACTCACAATTATTCACAGCAAAAAGATTGCTGCTGGAAAAGGGGATAGAAAGCAAAAACACAGAACTTTGGCAATGACCTCATTGCCTTTGAAGCTTGATGCAGTAACTAAATCAGTCCCACCTTCGACAACTGCAAAGCAACAAAACTATTTAAACATAGCGAATAAACCACACGTCACAACAAGCATTTTTCCCTAAAATGAAAATAATGGGAGGAAGATTCATAGGAGTGTTCCTCAAGTAATCAGTGCCACCGAAACAATGATTGACACCACTCTTCCTCCCACGCAAGGCATCAATAATCGTTCCAGCCAAACAGAAGCTACTACAAAAGGGAAACTAAGGGTTGGACACTCTTCTCGGAAAGTGGCCACTTTTTGCTTGAGCATATATTTTAATAGTCGCTTTTACGTAGGCAAATATAAGCGAGTAACTTGGGGTTCCTCAATTTCATGAAAGAAAAAAATTGTTTTCGTCTATGGAAGCTCACCGTGGGACGGAAGTGGTTTGTGTACCTCAGTCCTATTTATTATCGAACGGTAATACATCATATCTGCTGAAAGCATTTATTGAATCATAGCGGCCAAAGCAGGTGGCATATCGTCATCTGCTTCCAGCCAGCATCTAATTAAGAGCCTCAAGTAAGAGTGTGTTCAACTAGTAGATCAAGGCATGTGTTTATGGGCGCCATTAAATTGCAAAATTTTGCTGTTGGTTACGGGCCTACGGGTAGTTTTTCAACGTAAATCCGGTTATAAACAGATGCTTGAAGATTTTACGCGAAGAATAAAATACCATTTTCTATAGACACCATTTTTGTTCAATAGGTTAAGCATTTTTTACACGCAGAAAACTGTATAATCCGCCATCTTTAACGCCACCTTCAAATTGCAAACACGCTCCATGGTTTAAGTTGAATGCACTCTTACTCGAGGCTCTCTAGCATCTAATGACGTCAGTGGTGCCATCCCGTGGTACCACCGACGTCATGCACGCACGACCGTCGTTCGCGCGGTAGGCCTACCTCACTGATCTCTAATATAGGGGCCTGGAAGGCGCTGAGCCTAGCTCGGAGTCGGGCACGAGTGAAGCCATCGGAAGTTCGATGCTTGTCACAGAAGTCGAGTGTTTGCTGGGTTTTATAGTGGATTTAGTTAATGTTTTGGTTTTTGCTTTCTTGCATTTTTACGTGGGTTTTAATAATCCCTTTCAGTAATCAATCTTGAGAATAAGACGCTTGAACTTGGGGAGTGTACACTTAATCAACTAGAATCGCGTTACTCAGACATGAAATGGTTTCCAAGAAGACTTCTCGGGCCTGCATGAACTGTTATTGCGCGACAAGCAGGCTCTATTGTTATAACAAAAGCAAATCAAGCGCCTTGGATACTGTTTGGACCACCGCTCGTAAGAGTAGGAAAGCCTGTCAAGCGCTCACTTCCGGAACAAGCTGCTTACTTCCGGTGGCTTCGTACCTGTTCGCTCAATGCGCCATCCAGCCCTCTAGTGGAGATTATTGGCCCACCTCAAAACAAACTGCCATAGACAAGAACTTTTTTTACACATAAACTAACTAATCTCTATGACAATTGTTCAATCGCGCATCCCCGCTTCGCGAGTGCGGCCACCAGACGGCAATCTTGGACGTCGAAAAATCGTGTTTTTGGAGTGTTGGGGAGGCTGGCCGCAGCGTGCTGAAGACACGTTTTCTGCTTGTTCGCCGTCATTCGCCAAAAACATTCGTTTAAAACCCTGTGTAAGCCGAATACTTGCTAATGAGAATATGTGTGAATTTTCACGGAAGCGCAGTGCCGCAAGAAAAAGGCACAACTCGTCGAAAGCAAGTTTCGACGGTCTTGTGGCATGATCAAAGCTTCCTTGGCATGCCGAAGCGCTGAGTCTCTGTGCCTTCGCACGCTAGATTTGTGAACATATGAAGAAAAACTATTTTCCTTGTACCGAACGACACTCCAAGTACAACTCTTAGCTACCGTAGAATACCATGCATCCGCCCGTTCCACATGAAGCGCCGATATCCAAATTTCTAAGATCTGAGAAAATATGCACAGTACATTTATATGTAAAATTGATGACGAGGCAAGTGCCCATTCCCCATTTTTTCGCGATTATCTCTAAATTATGAGTGGGCGCTTGCCTGGTATTTTATGGTAATACAGTGGCCTACAATTGAAATAAAGTAGTGTTGTATCCTGCATGCCAAAAAGATGCACAAAGGCTTGCCCAGTGTGATGCAGATGGACGCTGCGGGAAGCTCTTTGAGTTGAACATTGGAGATGCATGTTACATTCTAAAAGTAAACAATGAAGCCGCCCCCCCCCCCCCCCCCCTCAGTTCAACTTCAAACCATATAATTATCTGAGCACGTCTCAAAGGCAAGAAAGCACAAGTGGCTGTTTCCATGCATTAACAGACAAAATGTACTCATCAGTGGTGAACTGCTTGTAGCAGCTTCTGCAGCAAAAGCATGGCTTTTGTAGCACATATTTCATATAATTTATTTCACACTGCAAACTTAAGGACATGACGTCCCGAAACCAAGACCACACGCAACGAAAACAGCACAACCAAGCACCGGGGCAGGATACCACTAGCAGACAATAGTTGCTTGAACGAGGGCAAGTTAAAGTATTCAAATAACGAACCTGCAGCAAAAAGATGTCCGAGCGTTCCTTCATGGCTGTGGTAGCGTGCCTCGAATGACTGGCGTGGGATAGCGGCTTCTGTAGAGGCATCGTAGCTGAAGACCAGTGCTGGCAGGCTCCTGATTCTCCCAACTTGAAATCCACCAAGATGGGTCCCAGGAACCACTGTTTTCCCGTGGTTGGCTCGAGAACAATCAATTTCATGGCGTCCTGTGGTTCGGCCAGCATATGGGCCCTGTCATTGCTGGCGATGCTCATAAGTATAATCTGCAGCGAAAAGATTCGTGAGTGCTTCATCACGGCTGTGGTAGCGTGTCCCCCACATTTGAGCTTTTGGAGCAGGCGATTCCGGTTTATCACATTGTAAAAAGCGATGCAAGTACTATAGAAATTCCCGCAGTTCCTCACAGTGTCATAAAAACTATTATAACTGCAATTATGACACACAATTATTCACAGCAAAAAGATTGCTGCTGGAAAAGGGGATAGAAAGCAAAAACACAGAACTTTGGCAATGACCTCATTGCCTTTAAAGCTTGATGCAGTAACTAAATCAGTCCCACCTTCGACAACTGCAAAGCAACAAAACTATTTAAACATAGCGAATAAACCACACGTCACACCAAGCATTTTTCCCTAAAATGAAAATAATGGGAGGAAGATTCATAGGAGTGTTCCTCAAGTAATCGGTGCCACCGAAACAATGATTGACTCCGCTCTTCCTCCCACGCAAGGCATCAATAATCGTTCCAGCCAAGGAGAAGCTACTACAAAAGGGAAGGGGTTGGACACTCTTCTCGGAAAGTGGCCCCTGTTTGCTTGAGCATATATTTTAATAGTCCCTTTTACGTAGGCAAATATAAGCGAGTAACATGTGTGAATTTTTACGCAAGCGCAGTGCCGCAAGAGAAAGGCACAACTCGTCGAAAGCAAGTTTCGACGGTCTTGCGGCATGATCAAAGCTTCTTTGACATGCCGAAGCGCTGAGTCTCTGTGCCTTCGCACGCTAGGATACCGATCAAGAATTGGTGCCGCGAAAATGTTTTGAAGGTGTGTCGTGCATAGATGTCTTCGCATCTTATATCGGCTAAAGAGTTCTGAAGCATCCAGATGTTCAGGCGAGTTGCTATCAATAAAGGGGGGAAAGCAATATGTACAGTTGCTCTTATGCACTATTAACCATGGCTGTGTTCCAAATCTACTCTAATAGATCACATAGAAGCACAAATAGTGCAACGCTGTAGAGCAAGGAGGGTTTTCGAAGGCAAAAGTACAAAACGGCGAGAATGATGATCTTTGAAGCGCGGTCCATATGGTAGTGTGCAGTCTGTTGACTAATCACAATTAGGCGAGCCGTGCTCAAACGTGAACTGAAATTAAGTAGGTTGACAATGAGACACCGCTGATCACTGATGAGGAGCTGTTGTGCGCGGTATTCTCTGAACCGTCTAACAACAAAAACAAAAAAGTACCGCCACCTTCCGTAAAATGTCCGATGACTGCCTCCTGGCATTTAGGAATGCAGTTCTTAACTGTGACTGGAGCTTTGTTTATTCTAGCTTAAACGTCGATGTCTCTTATAATACTTTCTTGGACGTTTTTAAAGAACTTTATCATTTGCATGTTCCGTTAAAAACCGTAACCGTAAACAAAAAGATAAGGAAACCCTGGGTGACCGCCGTACACATTAAAATGATGCATAAAAATGAAAGCCGTTTACAAGTCCCTGTAACACCGAATTGGAGCGCAGCTCTTTAGGAGGAGGAGGGAACGATACTGAAGGGAGGGTATATTCCTCCTCCCTCCTCCTCCCTCGTGATCATGCCTGCTAGTCCTCCTGCCCTTCTCCTCCTCCTCCACTCCCTCCCTCTCCTTCACCGCCTCCTCATCCTTCAAGCTCCTCTCCTGCCCTCGGCTCCTCCTCCTTGTCTCTCCTCCCCTTGCTCCTCCACCTTCCTACTGCTGTCCTCCTTGCCGCTCAAGCCGGAAACGGTCGCTTAAGAGCTGTGCTCTGAAATATAGAGTCAGAACAAATATTTTGGCAGGTTGACATTTTATTGATAGGGGAAAAACCGTGGTGTATACTGGAAACTGCGTTGCATATCCAGCCAAGGTTTACGCCAATAACGTACAAAACCAACGTACGCACTTGTTATAACGATGTACCTTCAAGTTTGCTCCGCGAGTTTCCAATTTACGTCCTGGATGAAAACCCCATTATTAGTTTAACTAGAACGCCATGATCAGCCGCCGTGGTACGATGTTCAGCAGCCTCTCCAGTGTAGCAGCCAGCCAGGACATGAAAAAAGAAGCATGTAGTTAAGCAGTGGGCAAATTTTCCCAGGGTTTATGCTTGACACCCATGCTTAGACAGTGAGAAGTTCAAATGCTGCCTACCTTTTTTTTTGTCTGCTGTGGGTGAGCAGCAAAACGTTTTTAATTCTAAGCTTACAAGAGCTTCAAGGTGACGTGATCACCAGACTAAAACTGGGATGGTGTTCGTCGTCCTAGTAGATGGGCACTCGGCGGAGTATAATACCAAAAAACACTTGTAATAAGTGAAACAAGCGTGAAAAAAGACACTTTGGAGAAGCTACAGGCAGGCACACCATCTTAAACTTGATAAGGAACTTACCGCAAACATGGTATTGTGATTTGTTTAGACCCGACGTAAGATGAACTTCAATACTTGATGATGGAACAGAGTCCTGAAAGTCGTCACATGCTTGGAACAGACCTACAATAAATGTACCGAAGCCGGTCTGAAATCTGTTAAAGACGTTTACAACGTTTTCGTGGGACGTCTTAACAATGCGAAGGGGGGGGGGGGGGGGAGGGGAGAAGAAACGGAGGGGAGGGCATGTCCCTCCTCCTCATCCGTACTCTCTCGTGCTCCCCTTCTCCTTCTCTCGTGCCCCTCCTCCCCTCGTTCCCTCCTCCTCCTTTTTTGAGGTATTTCGATTTTGCGACATACCGTACTAAACTATGTAATATATGTATATATATATATATATATATATGTATATATATATATTGTGGTATTTTTGCTCACCGCTTGTCCGGAGAAAGGAAATATAGTTGTCAGATCTGGAAGCTCCAATGTGATTTACGATTGATGAGACCGCTTGCTTGCACGACAGGTATCTGGCATCTCCTCTCCCCCCCCCCCCTCCTATTCCTCCTCCTCAACCTCATCGTCCTCGTCGTCCTCTTCGTCTTGTACGACTTGTACGCTCCAACTGATAACGAAGCTGGTAGATGCTCCTCCGAGTGGCCCGCCTAACACCTCTCAAGGTACGCAAGACCGTCCGACTGAACAATTCTCCAGCTTTCGTTCTTCTCCTCCTCCTTTCCTCCTAGCGCGCACTCCATATCGTTGCCAATGTTCGGCGTCCAAAATCCCCACAATATATACAAATATAGAGCAATCTCCTCCTATACTGGTTCTTTTAATAGCACTCCTATCCCAGTCCTTGATTGTTATGAAGGAAGCCTTGTGATCTGAGAAGTGACAGGATATGTGTTCCAGGTGATGTACCAATGGCTGATTTTGAAATACGAGGTCTATGCATGTGTTTCGAGAGGTCGTCACAGCAGTGTGCGCTGTTACGAGGGAGAGAAATGGGAGGTTTTCCTGCATAAGTGGTATGAAGTTCTTATTCGTCTTTAAGTCTGCATTACAGTCCCCCACTACTAACATGGGTGTGGACCCACGTGTGCTTAACGCAAGTTGCAGAAAATACACGACATCTTTGGTGAGTGCTGTAGGCGAGATATACAGAGTCACCACTATCAAGCCGTTGTCGAACTTGGCGGCACAAAGTTCTCCAACTTCGTCTGACGTGCCAAATATCTCTATGGGTACGGCAGACAGATCCTTACGCACGTAGATGGCCACTCCCGCCGCTCTGTTGTGCTCTCTACTGACGCCGCAGCAGTACTGGCAGTATATGATTTCTACCGCCTGTTTTGGATCTAACCACGTTTGCGAGAGGCAAAGTACAGATGCCTGGCGTAGGATGGGGTCGTGGTTCACGTCTTTGGAATGCGCCGGCAGAGAGCGAATATTAAGCGCGGCGACCGAGAACAAGTGCGGTTGCTCAATCATTGCGTAGCACTTAGCAGTGACAGTTTGGAGTTTGTGTGACTGCAGCCGACGAAACTCATCAAGTAGTGCCCTGTCGGGATTGGGCTTGCCGTGGTAGAACGTAAAGTCATTGTCCACATTGGTGAGGTAGAGCCCGTTGATGTCTGTAGCACGACTCAGTGCCACGTATACCAATTTCTGTGGATGACTCTTGGCATACGAGTACACCACGTTTTCATACGTGCCTCCCTGTGATTTGTGAATGGTGATAGCACTTGCTTGCACAATGGGTAGCTGGCATCTCCTCAAGGATATCCTTGACTTCTTATCAATGACGCAAGTGACTGTGCGTCTTTCGATAGGTGTCCAATTTTGCTGAATATTTCTGTCGAGTGCCTGTAAGTGCCGGGATTTTGCGGCCGCCACGGTTCCAATCGCAATTTTGGAACCAAGCTCACCGAAATGCAGCCAGATGCGTTCCGGCTCTTGGAGTGTGTCGTATTGTATATATTGGAGTATTCCAACAGATCCATTGACCAGACCGTCGGAAACATCGACATTGAGTGTGAGCATATATGGTTTTCCAATGCATAGCATTATATTAGCTGGCAGGTTTCCGAGTTCGGCCTTGGGCAGCGTTTCGGCCTTGCGCATTGCCTCTGTCTTCTCCTGCATAGACCTGAATCCAACGATTGTGTCCCGTGCCGCACATGCCACAGAATTATCTTCGGTTGCAATGGCTGTGTTCGTATTGTAGTAGTCTGATTCCTTGTTGGAGTAGTACAAGCGGATGCCACTGGGACAACACGTTTCTGCTTGTTGTTGCGTGACGAACCGACTCTCGATCAATGCGATTTCTTCGGAATCCAATTCTGCACCGTCTCCAATTTTAGAAAGTATGGTGGAAAACCTGAGATCGCTTTGCCTTACGACCTTCGTGAGGACGAAGTATGACAAATGGTGCCATGCGATTTCCGTGTTAAACACACTGTTCGTCTTGACGCGCTTGAAAACCTCGGCGGCACGAACGGGGGGAAGCTGGCGCAGGTCTCCGCAGAGGATGATGTCTAACCCGCCGAAAGGCTCTAGATATTTGCAAGTGATGATGCGGAGTCGCGAGTCCACTTTCTGCAGGATGTCGGCGGACATCATTCTAACCTCATCGATAATCACGCACCTGACGTTCCTGAACGCATAGCGGAACGTGTTCAACTCATTGTCCCGCAGTCCGCCATCCCTATTGATGGTAAGTCTGAACGCTGCATGTACAGTTATTCCACCAAGCGCGACCGCCGCCTTTCCAGTTGTAGCACAGGCAACATAGGCGTTTACATTATCTGAACCAGCAGGGTTGCAGTATCTGTTGTAGACGTCCATGATGAGACGCAGTACAAATGTCTTCCCGCACCCAGCCACTCCCGTGAAGAAGATTTGTAGTGGCGAAGAGTCCGGTATAGTGAGTCTATGCACGACTTCTCGGACAATCTCGTACTGCTCCTCATTTGTCTTCCGTATTGTGTCCAGGTACTCATCTCTGCTCATGACGTCTTGGCGCGTGCAGACGGCGGGGCACTGCTTAAACGGGGCATTGGATTGGACCGTACCGATGTCTAGGAGATCGGAGTCGTCGTTTTCCATGGCCATCGGGTGCAGTCTCACATCTGGGAGCTCAGAAGTGGCAGAATTTTCCCCGTCATTTGACTGGAACATGGAATTACAAACGGCACGAATTTGCTCAATGTCTACGTCACTGTGGTAGCGTGCTTTGTTCTGTAGAATGACGTCGATGTTTTGCTCATACAAACGCTCGAAACAGTTTTGGTCTAAGATATCCACTTCTTTGCGGAATGGATAGAAGAGCAGGACATGTTCTCGATTGAAGTTGACTGAATCGTCTACGGAGCAACCGCGGTAGCGAAGTATCCGTCGTTGATTCCTCTTTCTGCAGTTATATATGTCGTACTCGGTAGCGAACTCTGCCAGAGTAACAGCTTCCAATTCGGGAACGCGGTCTTCGTAGCGCTCGATCATCGTCCGTTTCCAAACATCCGTGCTTGATTCTACTAAGCCTTCCTGCGCCATCTGAGCGTTAGACTTCCGAGTGCGCGTCCTCTCCTAAGGCCATGCAGAGTTCACGAAGACAACTTTTCGACTCGCCTCCGACATATCCTGGTTGAGCAAACACCATGCGGCCTCCTGTGCGGACAGCTCAATGGCATTCAACATTTTCACACCTAGATGTCTCAGTGCCTGAGAATAGGCCATGTCCCTCTTCTCCTTGACAATTTCTTGCACTGCCCGATTGAGGTTCGACATACCTCGGTTGGCCTTGTTTACATATTCCACCACGTAGGCAGCACACGCATACGTGTCGAGGACGATCTGAAGATCCATGTTAGAATCGAGAATTGATGCAACCCATGGGTTAAAGTAATTCACCCACTTTTGCTGCACAGAACGGGGTAGCATGATGGTGGCACGAGGAGTGCCTGCTCGGAGAATAGAAATGTACTCCGCCTTGTCCGCGACACCGTGATGTTCCCAAAACTGCTCCATGCAGTCATAATTTGTCGTTTCCAGGGCATGATGCATGGCCTCGTACTTTTTAGGAGGCTCTCGATTTTCTTCTTCTGCGCTTCATTGTCCACAGTGGGGAAAGGCACTACAACCATACATTCATCGATGGGCATAAAAGGCGCGTAAAAGCGGCATCTGGTCGTGTTGTGCTTGTAGCAGGTGTGCGTGTGTTGGTGCACCTGAGTCCGCTCCCGCTTCAAGCATCCGTTGTCGATGGAAAGCAGAACGTTGGCCATTTCAAGAGTCTGGGGCATGAGCATCGAGAGCTCCTCGTTGGGCGCGTTCTGAAGCCAAAGGAGAATCTGCGGGTGTGCCGACCCGCGGTGCTGAAATTCGATCCACTTAAAGTAGTCGACGACTATGTACGGCCTAAAAGGCGATACACGGGTGTTGCGGAGAATGTTGAGAATAACACGCACCAATCGGTCGAAGTATATGGCACAGACTACGGGATCGTCATTCACTAGCTGAGCTCGATAAATGCTGTTCATTTGCTCCAGTGGTACTTCGATCTCGCCGGGCTTCAACCGAAGGCGTTGAAGCAACTGCACAAGGTCGGGCCAGTGAATTTCCGAGGCAGAAAGAGTGAGGAACGCGGTCGGCTTACCCAACTGCCGTATCATAGCAAAGAGGTCTTTCTTGCGTTTTGTCCAGTACTGCACGGTGTTGGGTATACCATGCATGAAAGCCATGTCGTGCTTGACCGCTTGCTGCACAAAATCCTTGTCGAGCAACTGTTGTTTCGTTAGTGTTTCCAGTGCCTTTATGTTACGGAAGGCCACACACATGTCACCGGCTACTCGGTGCCTAAACACTTTCATGGCCATGTACAGTACGTGCTGTGGGGTGACCCTCGACGGTCTGACCTGCGGATCTCACTCATGGCGTGTGTGAAGACTGTCGGTTTTGCGCTGGCATGTACTCGGCGCGGCTCACCGAGATAAATCTGTGGGAACGAGAGCTCCTCTGCATGTTCGTCGTAAAGGATGCTCACGGGCCTTTTTCCCTCACCTGGCGCAATCACTAGAAACTTGTCTTCGTCCCATACGAGAGTGTGCTGAGCCAGAGTCATGGCTGTAGCCACTTGGATCGGATCGTTGAGGTCTGAGCATTGCGGGAGCAACTCGATCTCGTCGTGTTCGTCCACTTCTACGATATCCCCCAAACGGGCAAAATCGCACTTGATATTATAATGCTTGTACAGCGTGCTATCACACAGCAGCTTAAGCCACGGCAGCAGATCACATTTCCTTACTGCCCCTGCCAGGTACGTCGTCTTCGCAAGCATACGCCGCTTCAAATGTACATTGAGGGCTCGGTCTTGTTCGATGGCACGAGGCAACATTGTCACCATGTCATCCACGTCACACAGACGTTCACTACTGGTCCCTTAATGCCGTTTTGACCTCCACCGTGCATCAGCCGTCGCAGTTGCATGAAAGGAATTCGTGGAGATATGAGTCTCTCACTCACCGCGTTCAGTTGTGGGAGGTGGGCTGGCTTCGGGGGATATACATAACCGTTACTTGAGGAAAGATGAGAAATATGACCCTTTTGCACTGATTGTATGCAGGTCGAGCACAGTTTGAATTGGGTTAGGTCCCAGTTTGGAAATGATTGCTCTAGGGTTTCGTGACATCTGTCCGGTAGCGGTTGCAAGTCGTTCTGGAACCAGAGCCGATCGCAGACTGAACATACGCTCCCAAACGGGTTGTCTCTAAACAGCCGTTGGAAAATTTTTGTTGCACCGTCAGGCTTAGCAATCCTTGTTTTTTGCTTGGCTTCCGCTTCGGCGGCGCTCACTCCTGGCTGCTCTCGGCGGCGGCGATGAGCCTCTGCTTTGGCGTTGCGCACTTCCGGGTCCTCTCGATAGCGGCTCCTGGCTTCCGCTTCGGCGGCGCTCACTCCTGGCTGCTCTCGGCGGCGGCGATGAGCCTCTGCTTCGGCGTCGCGCACTTCCGGGTCCTCTCGACGGCGGCGCTTAGATTCAGCCTCAGCAGCGCCCACTCCTAGCTGCTCTCGGCGGTGGCGATGAGCCTTTGCTTCGGCGTCGCGCACTTCAGGGTCCTCTCGACGGCGGCGCTTAGATTCAGCCTCAGCAGCGGCCACTCCTGGTTGCTCTCGGCGCCGGCGATGAGCCTCTGCTTCGGCGTTGCGGACTTCCGGGTTCTATCGATAGCGGCTCCTGGCTTCCGCTTCGGCGGCGCTCACTCCTGGCTGCTATCGGCGGCGGCGATGAGCCTCGGCTTCGGCGTCGCGCACTTCAGGGTCCTCTCGACGGCGGCGCTTAGATTCAGCCTCAGCAGCGCAAACTCCTAGCTGCTCTCGGCGGTGGCGATGAGCCTCTGCTTCGGCGTCGCGCACTTCCGGGTCCTCTCGACGGCGGCGCTTAGATTCAGCCTCAGCAGCGGCCACTCCTGGTTGCTCTCGGCGCCGGCGATGAGCCTCTGCTTTGGCGTTGCGCACTTCCGGGTCCTCTCGATAGCGGCTCCTGGTTTCCGATTCGGCGGCGCTCACTCCTGGCTGCTCTCGGCGGCGGCGATGAGCCTTGGCTTCGGCGTCGCGCACTTCAGGGTCTTGTCGACGGCGCCGTTTAGCTTCAGCTTCGGCGGCACGCACTTCAGGATCTTGGCGTCGGCGGCGCTGAGCCTCTGCTCGGGTAGTGCGTTTAGCAGCAGCTGCTTCATCTGATTCGCTCATTTTGTGAAAAAGAACTGCCTGATTACGGCTCGTCGTCGTCGTCTTTGTGATATCACTCATGCTGGATTATGGCGCCGGCGGCGCTGACCCTCAGCTCGAGCCTCGGGCAGCACGTTTAGCAGCAGCTGCTAAAGCCCCTCTATCCTGAGAAAAGTGGCGGCATTCATTGTTGTGGAAATGCTCGAGACACGTGCCGTGCGCCAATTCTGGGAAGAACATGGCCACTGTAATATGGCATCTGAAATCTAGTTCGAATGTGCGCTGTGCCGCCATGATCTTTCCAAAGTCTGCACGTTGCACGTGCCTCGTGCATCGACGCACCGTACGCTACTTTTAAGACATGAAGGCGCTTTAGCAGCTTTTAGCTTCTCTTTGTTCTATTATTTTCCTGCTGCAGGGTTTTTCAATTATTTAATTTTGGCGGAGAGAAACCACGTGGGGCTACTGAACGGAAGGGCTCCGGTTGGAAGCCGGCCGAGGGATAAGAGATAAAAGTCTTTTAAAATAATTTTTCGGAGTACTGAAAATACGGATTTGTCCCCTCTGCTCATCTTCCCTGCTCCCCTGCTTTCTCCTCCTAACCTCTCGGGGGCCACGTGACCCCCCCCCCAAGTTCACGTGACCCCCCAGGTCACCTGTTGCATGTTGCAGGTTGTAGGCAACCTGTTGCATGCAACCTGTTGCATCTTCTCTGAGCTGCATGCAACAGACTGCACAGGATGCAACCTGTACCCGTACCAACCTGTACCAAAGCAAGTCACGTGACCTGGGGGGGTCAAGTGACCCGCTTTCTCCTCCTAACCTCGCGGGGGCCACGTGACCTGGGGTAACGTGACTTGGGGGGGTCACGTGACCCCCCCAGGTCCCCTGTTGCATGTTGCAGGTTGTAGGCAACCTGTTGCATCTTCTCTGAGCTGCATGCAACAGGTTGCACAGGGTGCAACCTGTTGCATGCAAGGCGCGGTTACGCCGACGGCGACGCCGACGCCGACGGCGACGGCGACGCCGGTCAGGCTGGAAACGGGCCCCTAAGAGCTGCGCTCTAAAAAAAGAAGTACCTTCCCCCCCTCTTCCGTCGCCACTTAGTTACAAATACAGTCGTCAGAATAAAGTAAACCGCTGCTCCGGAGGCACATACGGCTACAGGCACATTGCACTCGCAAAACACATTCACACGGTGTCGATTCTTGACCGGCATCCAAGCGTGCGAAGGCATAGAGACGCAGCGCTTCGGGATGCCAAGGAAGCTTTGAACATGCCGCGAGACCGGCGAAACTTGCTTTCGAAGAATTGTGCCTTGTTTCTGCTGCACTGCGCTTCCGTAAAAATTGTGACGTGTTCTCAGCGGCAAGTCTCACGTCTTACATAGAGTTTTAAAGAACTTCTTCGGTGAATGACGAGGAACGAGTAGAAACTGTGTCTTCAGCACGTTGCCGCCAGCCTCCGCAACGCTCCAAAACCGAGCTTTCTCAACATGCAAGATTGCCGTCCGGTGGCCGCACTCGGGCTGCAGCGATCAAGCGGGGGTACGCGATCCAGCAATTGTCCTAAACATCAGTATATAAACTAGAGAAAACACGACATGCTCTTAAATTCAGTATGCGACAGCGCTCATTATGATTATTCAACCAGCGCGGTTCAGTCTTTCATGTTAAAATCTGATTTCTCCGGTTCTTACCGCGCCCGAAAGCGAAAGGGTGACGGCGCCCGAAAGCAAAAAAGGTACGAACAGAAGGAGTTCGGGAGAGCCCACTCAGCCCAGAGCAAACCAAACACTCATGGCGATGAGCCCTGCGCCTGCACACGTCCATCGAGTCGAGTCTGATGCGTGAATAGGTTTCCCTCGCGCAACTGAGTCGGGAGGCTAAAGCAAAAAATATGGCGCGTTTTCTGACTCAGCCCGCGCTATTGCGTTAATTTACGCGTCTTTGATTCATTCTGCACTTCGGCTATCTAGCAAGGCGCATGCGAAAATGAGCTAGCTTACCTTCTTAGTCCGGTTGAATGGTGAAAAACGATCGCCGCGACGACGAAGAGTGCTGCCGCCCTCCCAGCCCGTGGTGGTTCACGCGCGAGCGAGCGTGCGGACCGGGAAGTAAACATCACGTGATGGACGGCGCTCCTCGCTCGGTTGTCGTCGTCCGCGAGCTGCGCCGGCCTTTAGGTGGGTCTCCCTCCGCCGTTCGAAAGAGATTTTAGCCTTGGCACGAATGGCAAGTAACATGAGACATCTGCCAACAAGAAAACTATCTCTAGAGCAAACGTGGCGTGTGTTATGTGTTTTTACTTGAAAGAAAAGGGATCACAGACCTGAACTAACAAATATGTGAAGCCGTACATTTACGGACTCGTGTCGTCATGTCGCCTCTACGGCGTATTGCCCGTGCGCGCCTCTCACGGCGCTTTCCAGTTTTGAAAAAGGGTGTTAACTTACGTTGTTTTTTTTTTACAGTGCACACACAGAACTATAAAATCGTGGTCGGCTTATGGCCGATTCACACGACGGACTGAACCGCGATTTTTTGTCTGCGGACCGTGTACCACATGACCGGCACGTCACCGATTCCTGCGATCCGCACCTCGTCCGCGGACGCGGGGACTGATGAAGTCGAGCGCCTTTTTCAGTCGCGGATTTTTGGCGGTAGAATGACCAGAAAAGCGTTTAGTCTGGCAACAGTACATTGTTTTCTTTGTTATTTGGTTCTGGACGATTAAAAAAAAATGGCGCATGGTTGCGTGTTGTGCGTTCGCTGGTTCATTTTGCCGCGCGATTCTTGGTTTCACGCGAGAAAAAAACTACAGAAACTTTGGCTGACGCGACGCAGGTTCCCGTACTCCTCCGGGTCCGTGTCAAGAAGCACCCTTCAAATCTCGTCTAGCACGCCGCGATAATTCTTGCACGTCCAATCAGGATTTCACCGACCATGACCTTTCTTGTGGTTGTGGTGCACTTGAGCGTTGTGCACGAGCGCGGAGTGCATGAAGGCATCTCCAAACGCCCCTCCGCGAGTCCAGAAATTCGTCGCGTCTGCGCCGAACCCTTCTCGAGCAGGGGTGCTATGTTGCGCTTTTTGCACTCCCAGGAGACTTGGAAGAAGGAAGTGACGTCAACGACTGGAGCAAACGCAGATTGGATGTTGACAGAAGAAAACAAACTCAACATCCGATCTGCGGTTGCTGCGTTGTTGACGTCACTTCCTTCTCCCTAGTCTCCCGGGAGTGCAAAAAGCGCAACATAGCCCCCCAGGACCATTCCTGTGTCACTGTCATGCCTTGGGTTAGTAAAGCTAGTGGCGCTTCGCGCGAAGCCTATCACCGTGTTTAGTCTCGATCTGTACGTAACAATGGCGTACGATTCTTTATCGCGGTAGCAGACGTAGATTTCTCCATTGGAAAATGGTGCCACAGTGCGATGTTAGAGTTTCGCGGCGCTGTGGGGTGGCGAACAGGTTCGGTCCGTCCTAGCTGGTGTCTGCTCGTTGTCCCCCTCGTGTGGATGCGTTTGGGAGACGGACGAATTGCGGACATGTTGTCACGTGATCAATCCGTCCGCGGATCAGTCCGTCGTGTGAATCGGCCAATACCGACGCGCGCACCGCTCGAAGTTAAAAAAAAGCAAAAAAATAACAAAAAACAATAGCGTCGTCGACTTCAAACGCATTTCTCGCCAAACGTGCTCGACTGCGCATTCTTTCCCAGTAACTTGACTACAGCGCCGCCATAAACTGTCAATACACGCGCCCTCACGAACTCCCGTTGCCGAGCCGCTCCTGTCCCAACACTGCCCCAAGTATTCTAGTACACTGTAACCATACTGACCCTACTGCCGATTCGCCGGTGTCGGCACCTATCGCGATCTACATAGAACGCCTCACACGAGCCGCTGCGGTTTCAACATTACCCCGCATTGGAGTACACTATAGTCGAACTTTGACTGGCTGAAGTCCGCCTCAACACCAAGTTCGGCTTAAAAACGCCCAAGCTGGTTTTTACGTTTTATAGACGCTCCCGCGAACTTCCTTTGTCAAGTCCCTTTCAGAGAGTGTTTATTTGCCATATCCTAAGGGATGAGGAATGAAGGAATGTGTTGGTGAGAACTAGGTCTAGACGCTGGTACTAACATTTAAGCAATGTGGCTTAAGCTAAGCTAAATAGGTACCACTAACTTGACCTCAAAGATGACATCTAGGAGACGTTGCGGGATGCTTCTCTTGTTATCTTCGCCAGGTCGGTGAAACCAGCCATCTACGAAAGCACTATTTTTAGGTCGGTACTCGGCTCTGATGTTCTTGCATTTGGAGAATTCCCACATCAGGAGAAAAGTATCTTATTTGATGCCCACGTCACACATTGAGCTGGAGCCGGATATTTCCCCCCGGCTCCACGATGCGACGCCCGCAAGTGTTATAGCTGCGATTGTCCTCACAATGGTCAGGAGTACCTTGGCTCTTCTGCCGAAATCTCTTGAGGGAGGAAGGCTCGGTATTGGGGGACGTTTCTCCCAGAGTGCTGCTTGGCAGTCTTTCTTGATTTTGGCACGATCCAATCCTGGATTGTAGCCTTCATTACTGCAGTTTTCTTCTTTTGCTCGGCTTCCAGTGTTCGTTCGCAGATTTCAGCATATCCGTGGTCGTTGTCTTTTAAAGATGGTGCATCATCATGGGCACGGGGTCCAAGCGGTGTACATTTCATTGCCGGGGATTCCCTCATGCGCCGGTACGCAGGCTTTTCTTGGAGTTGTGCCTCTAGATAGCAGCTGAGAGGCAAGTTTTTTTATGTTCTGTACTTCCACACTGGCGTTTCTTGATGTCTGGCATTGCCTGTTCACTTGCTGAAAATTTGTTAAGACCCGGAGATGTACAGGTTGGGGTCCTGGTAGTGTAAGGGCCGTCTCGAGGGCGAGGCGGACTGCTGCGAGTTCTCCCGCTTTTACCGAGGTGCGAGCAGGAGGTTCTTCAATGCGCTTATGCTTAGGGTTGGAGAGATGACCGTCGCTGTTTTGAGAATAATCGGTCTATCTCACGAGGCGGTGTCTTTGTATGCAGCTACAATTTTGCTCGCTTCTTTTTTCCACGCTTTCGTCGCTTTGATGTGTGCCATGACAAGACGCTCGTTTTGATTTTGCCGTCCTTACTGGTGCTAGGTGTATTTTCAGTAATTTCTGTGTGATCTTCCCGTAGTGGGAGTAGCTCAAGTAATTTGGGAAGGTCTCTGTAGATGTTCCTACGAGTTCTAAGATCCCTTTCCCTAGCTGCGTGCGCGACCGTGCGGCCCCCGACGATTTTGTGTAGCGAGTTAATCTGAGAGCATTCCCTAAGTTTTGCCAGGTGACAAAACTTGTTTAGGACCGTGAGTTTTATTCTAGCTTGGTTGTTTAGGGCCTCGAGCTTCTGCCATTGTGCATTAGTGAGCCATTGGTGCCAAGCCCTGTAGCGGAAGCGCTATACTACTAGGGCTTTGAATATTCTTCTGGTAAACTCTTCTGCTGCTCCACCCTTGGCGCTACAAATACACCGGATGGCACGATTTCCAGGCAAGCAAATGAGCATGGTTATTTTGTTCCAAAAAAATCAGATGTGCCCTCTGTCCGCAGAGAGTCAGTAGTCTGCTGCTGCAGCCAATGGTGGAGTGGTAGGAAGAAGAACAATCTGTTGAGCAGGAGCGAGGCGAAGCGACGAGGACTTGAGAAAAGCGCTCAATCTATTTAATGCAGCTCCATATTATGGTGGCATAAAATGGCACACTAAGGTATAGGCGACTCCTGTCAAATGTCTATCGAGCACTACAGGTCAGTACCCCGCGTCTTCTTATAAATGAGTGATTGTGATGCCTGGGAGCACCACATCAATGTAAGCAACGCTGAAAACAAGCGGACTAACAGCAGAAATCATTTCTTCCAGGTGACGTGACTGCACATCTTTGCTTTTTTGGTCCACCGACATCTGGATGGCGAAAACCGTTCATCGCTTTCCACCTCCGCGACTATGTCAAAGAGCTGCAGTTTCCACACTCTTTGTAATGTTGTGGCTGCCCAATTCTGCATGCGACACACTGTTCTAGAGAACGGTATGACGTGCTTCGGTACGACCGTACATACTATCTATTCATAAAAAAAAAAACATATGCCAGACTGTGTCTAGACAACTGTGACACCCTGATTGCTTGTCAAGTACAGCGACGACAATCAGCTCGTCACTGTACTCTTAGTGCCGCGTACATCTGGCTACTCGAACATCTTTGACTATGGGAGTAAATGCTGGCTCCACTGTATTATTTTAACCAGAAGTCATATATGACACGAGCTGTTTTCGTTGCGACCATGGACTCCCTCGCATGTCGTCGTAACATTGTCTTTCTTCTGCACCACACGGCCATGAAGCTTGTGACACATTTTTTTGCATTCACAAGCTTACGACTCGCACGACGTGTAAGCTCGGAAATACATAAGCGGCATAAGAAGGCTCTTTAGCGACTGAAAAAAAAAACTTTGCATGAGCTTTAAATCCAGATAACCGAAATATAGTTCAATGTAGACCACTGGGATATAATTTATTCGCCAGCTCATTTACTTCCTGGATGTTAGCGCAAAGTTCCACTCCTTCCACTTTCCTCAACCGCCAAATGTATGTGCAGCATTTGCTATAGGCTATACGAGGTTGGTGAAAATAGTTTATATATTTTTGCTCATGAACTATACGTAAAGAGCACGCGTAGTGTTTCAGGGTCTCTACGCGTGCAGTGCCACCACTAAAATTATTTTGTGTTGGCCCATCAGAGCTGCTTGTTAGTCTACATTCCCAAACAAGCAGCGATGGTCATTATGTCTGTGATTTCAACAGCTTGAGCTATTTCCGTTCTGCAGGATTTCTGTTGGCAGTGTTTCGTGATGACAGGACAAACAAAGAGGCAAATGCACAGGTTTGAGTCATTAAAATTGGTTTATTGCGCAAGTGCGACAGAGGAATATTGCTCCTCATGCAATTCCAAGGGGGCAATGAGTAATGCGACAGAAACGAAACAAGCAACCCTTGGCGAAAAACCGCATATTTCGAATATATTTATGAGGAACTTAATATAAATATTTTTCACAAATTTTGTTGAAATTTAATTGGCCGCACTTGAGCGTACTACAAATGTACTTTTACCGCATTCTTGACGAAATATTGTCATAATTCTCATGAACTCCAAAACGTAGGGCAGGCACTTTGAATGTATTTATATCGTATTCTTCACGCAACTTTGGCATACTTCTCGCGAACTCCAAAATGTAGGGCTGGCGCTTCGAATGTACTTTTAGCTTCCTTCAAGTTACTTAGGAATTCGTAAAACGAATCTATATAAAACTGTATTTAAAAACACCAGCAAACTTATTATAAACAGAAATATCTTAAAAAATAAAGTTTAAGCAAAATTTAAGTTTTGAAGCTTATTCAAAACAAATCTCAAGCAGTGAAAGAAAACTCTACGATTACAGGAATCATGGAAGGTTTGTAAGTGGCGCCAGTTGGTTTTACAACCTTTTTATTTAAATTTTTGACCTAAGATGGTTCCTATACCGATAATGTTGCACTAAATGTTGCATTCGGTGCAATTTTATCGGTATTGGAACCATATTAGGTAAAAAATTAAAAATAGGAAGCTTTTAAAACCAACTGCCGGCACTAACAAACCTTTCATAAGTGCAGTAATCGAAGTGTTTTGTTCCACTGCTGGCGATTTGTTCCGCATAAGCTTCAAAATTTAATTTTTGCTCAAACTTTATTTTTTTAAAGATATTTCTGTTTTTAATGAATTTACATTTAAACTATCCTTAGCACAGGGAGACGTATATGTGCCAATTTACAGATGCAGTTCTACGAAATGCAAGGAAGAATGACAACAGAAAAAAACTTTATTCAAGAACACATATTTGAAAGAGAAAATCTATTTAAAAAATGTCAGCTTCCAGAATATGCATTGATCTTTATACAGGGCGTAAAAATTGTGCTAAAAGAAATTCATAAAAAAAAAAAAAAACTTTCGAGAAGGTAAAACATAAAAGTAGGCTAGCTACACTGTGACCCTTCAAGGGGCACTGACAGGGTATTTATGCTAGCCAAGGTTTCTATTTGTACACGAAAGCCTACCCCAAAAACAATACGCAGCTCGAAATTCGTTTTCTTTCCGCCCGAAAACCGCCGATCGAGCGATCGAGAACTGGACGGCTTGAGTCGCGCTCACTCTCTTCTTCGTGGGCTTGTTCGAGAGACAAAATGTGGCCTTGTTCAAGGTGCAAAATGACTTGCGAAACAAATCCATGCCTAAAAGTAGGCTTTAAATGATAAGCGAAATTAAATGCTCGCTTGACGTTTAGGCGAGGCTACGATTTATCGAGGACTCCACTGCACGACGCTTGCACACTAGAAGCTGGCAACAGGGCGAACGTCCGTTGAAAAACTTCGGGCAGGTATAATGTACTCAACATGAAGACAGCAAGCCTGAACATGTAATCCGAGATCACTGGTATATACCGCAATCACAAGTGAAGCTGTCTTAAACACTCCACGTCGCGCGCACAAACACAGTATAAACCTCCTTCAACTTCAAAGTCGGCACGGAATCCATACACTTCGTGCGGGCGCCGGCAAGGGCCTCGCCTTCGAAGGGGTGCCCAACCACTGCGGCACCACTGGGAAGCAGAAGGCCGACCAACTGGCCAAGCTCGAACACGACGACGCTGAATTCTGGCTGTCCAGCGTGGAGCTCTTCGTGGACGCGAAGCTTCTGGTGGCCCGGGAAGCCCAAGCCAAGCATCCCGTCGCGAGGTACGCGGCAGAAGACCGCCTCGCTAGGCAGCGGCAGGCCGTCATTCACCGCCTCCTAACAAGCAGTGCCTCGTCCCCAGTGATGCTGCAGTGGCTCAGGCCGAGCGCTGACCGGGAATGCGGGACCTGTGGAGAATGGGCGGGCACCAGCCGCCTGCCTGAGTTCGCGGATCACACCAACCGAGGAGGCACTTTACCGACGATCGGGGAGAGTCAATGGCAGCGCTCGGGCTCGGCGTGACTCACAGGCCACGCCAGCGGCAAACAAGCGGCATCAGTGCCGGCCTTTCCTGCACAAGAGAACAGATCATCCGTCCGCATGAGACGGCGCAAACAAAATAAAAGGCCCTCAAGGCGCTACTCACCTTCTTCGATAACAGTGGACTGCCACTATCCACGTGAGAGACCTGAAATCGCAAAATTCCGAACAAAAAATCCAGGCCTCCCGCGCGCAGCTACATAACGAAGCAGGAGGCGGAAAATGGCGCGGCCGTCGTCCCCAGCCGTTGGATGGATAGATGGATATTGGCTGTTCCATTTATACCGGAGGGTAGCTTGCGCCACCTAGCCTTGAAATATTGAATTCTAAACTTTCTATTCTTTTTTCTCTCCCATGGTTAATATTCTTCTCCGTTTACCTCCCTACAACTATCACCGCGCAGGTAGAGTACTTTCCAAGAAAATCTTTGGGGGATCGGGCAAAAAAAAAGAAAAAATTGAACGCCGCCCCCCACCTCCTTCCGCGGTCGAGGGAGTCGCCTATTTTCCTCTGGTCAACCACGTTCGTCTTCGGGACGAGGAGTGTCGCCTACGGCGTGTCGCTTACCGCTTTCAAAAGAGCACCCGGGTTTGACTTCGATCCACAGTGTGGGCTTGCTTTCTTTTATTCTTTTCTCGATCATTTTGTTTTGTCGAGGGATTTAGCGATATTTCCGACATTTCTTTTTTACGATTAACTAAGAAAAAAAGCAAAAAAAAAACAACACGAATGTTGTTTACGAAACATCGCTGAACGAAATGGGCCGGAATGTTTGGCTCATACGCAAGCGGACGCGGGTTCGATCCCCAATGTATTTTCGTTTTTATTTTTTTTTTACTTTTTGTTTTGTCGAGGCATTTGACGATATTTACGACATTTCGTCGACGAACGAAAGTTGTCGACGAAACGCGCTAGAAATACACCTCCCACACGGAGCCATTCTCCAATCAGAGCACGGCGAAGTGACGTCGTGGCACCGACCTGCGCGGAAGAGCAGACGGCTCCCCCCCCCCCCCCCCCCCCCCCAACCCGTATTAATTATTTTATGGTGCCTTAACTCGCCTGCAAGGTTGTTCTTTTTTATTTTTATCACACCTCAAGCGTGACGGTATTCGCGTAAAAGCCAGCCCATAAACAGATTCTGTACGAAAATAAACTCGTACAACGGTTTTCTTGTGTTAAACTTAGCATTCACGACGCCAATCTCCTGCCATAACTCACAACCGATGAAACACTCGATCATACACGCGTTGCGCCAAAAGACCCAGCGGTTGAATCAACTAGCCCGTCCAGTCACCTTGCCAGTTCAAAACACAGATTACGACACCTCCTTGGCTGCGCGTTCACAGTGCGGTCGTCATGAAAACCGAGCACTTTCACAAAAAGCTGGCGGAACAAACAAAACGCGCCGACCAAGGAGCTTCAGCACACCGAGCGCGGCCATCGACGACATAGGCCCATCTGCACGGCTAGACCTCTAGTCGAACGTCGAACTGGTCAAATTGATGGGCTAATGGCTGTACACTTTATAATGGGCGGTAGCTTCCGCCATCTATCCGAGAAACTATAAACCACAATTATGATTTCTTCCTTCGCCCGTCTAAGCCTATCTCTTTTCCGCCCAAGGTTAACCTTGGTGTATCCTTAAAAGCATCGAGTGCACTCTGAGTAGAGGCTCCGCGCTCTTCATATATATTCGTGAGGCACTTCCGTCGCATACTTAAAGTGCCCAATATATGCATTCCTGATTACTGCTAACAACGTACTTTAAATACTCTAAAACTATGTACACATAATTTGAGTGCAAATAATATACACTAATAGCGAACATACTTCAAGCGTATTCCCAAAATATATTCCGATTAAGAAGGAGCTGATATTATTATTGAACTTTTGTGAAATTTCGATTAATCTTGCTTGCTTATAGTGCACTAAAATATACGAAGTATATTTTTAATATGCTGTTTTTCGCTAAGGAAATACTTTCCATCATACGTTTTGCACAGGGTTCACACCGGTTTGAAACACAATAAGAATTAAGGGCACAGGGTAAGGTAAAATTGAAAAAAAAATTCGATTTTAGTTTTTTTCGCAATTTGAAAAGTTTAGTTCTTTCTGCACATTTTTCATTGTCCCAGTGTTTTTAGAAAGCTATATTTCGGGCTGAAAATCACTTCTTCCGAAAGCAAGTAGCAGGTGACCACGCCTCCTTTTGGGATACACTCCCTGTTTATCGATGAATTCTCCAACAAAACAAAATCAACACAAGACCTAAAAGCTTGTCCAGTAAGAGATAATCTCAAAAAATTATTTCGCAACTATTGCATAGCTTTTTTTCAACCAAGACAATCACGAGACGCGGTGCACGTTTTTCCCAGGTGTGCACCGTGTGTACATTCAAGCGTTTGTGTTTTCGTAACGACAAAAGGGCGTCATTGAATGCTGTTCCTTTATTCAATGGTGGCAGCATTGCACAAGCCAATGTTTTGAAGTTTTGTGGATGGAACCCTGTTTGGAAAGCCATCAAGTGGCTGAGGGAAGTTGACGTCACTCTAATATACTTTACGGACCAAGCGACATGGCAGGTCACAAAAGAGGCCCGGCAAGCAAGGTGGAAGCACGCACGGTACCGCCGCGTGAAGCCAGCAACAGCTGACGCCATTTTACGAACGCCGTCTGCTAGCCATAGCCGAACTTGGCGTGTCAGATCGGCCGCGTTGGCAGGTGCGCCGCTGGCAAAGACGACGAAGCTGAGACACGACGACGGCGATTGAGCAAGCAAGAGCACAGCGGGACGACTGTAACGGGGGCATTTATTGGGATCACAGGCGCAAAATAAGCAAGATAAATATTTATTTGTTTCATAACGTGCGAAATCGTAGTTGGGGATTACATACCCTTGCTGGGTCTTTCCTGTGAACATTTTACGGAGACCCGGGTTGCCGCCTCGAGAGAACAGCTCCGTGTGCAAAATAGAAGGGCCCTTAAAAGAGCCGTTTAGGCCACTACCAGAACCTAACTGAGGTAGCGAGCACTTGACAAGCGGTTGGAACATAAGTCGCCTTTACGCTCGCAAGCGGGCGACGGGCTCAGCCCAGCGGATCACACGAAATCACCACGGCCGTCAGAATCCTCATCCTCCGCACTGTAGGCAAGGTCCCTGTCTGCGTCAGGGCTGTAGATTTTGGCTTCCGCGGTGACGAAGGACTCGAATCTATTAGTGTTTTCGCGCGCCTTCTTTTTCCTCCAAAACATGAACTTTGCAAGGTGACCAGTGAAATGGTGGTTCTCGCGCCGTTTAGATGAAAGATAGTTTTTGGACGTGAGCCCAAGTGCCCTCCACCGCATTGGTGTTCGCACCAGTGCCAGGGTCGACAAAGTGGAGCTTGCGGTTGACGGTGAAGTGCGTGAGGCGAGTGTCATCTGCAAGGGCTTGCGATAGCCAGCCCAATAGTCAGGTATTATTCTTGTTCCAGGGCGGACCCGCTCAGCTATTAGCCCTTGCAGCATCTTTGCGTCACGGGCCTCCACGGGTACAAGAAAGCAGCACCCGCTGCCACGCTTTACACCGAACCCACTGGCCAGGCCTTAAATACCCTCGACGGTACTTTCGTCGCACGAAAATACTCTCGTCTAGTTCTACAGTCACGCCTCCGCCGCCAATCATTTCTGAATGCGTAAAGGCGGCATTTAACACAACCTTCCGACAAAGGCTTGTTCAATCAGTTATTGTCTTGAAGACGTCAGTCTCTCTGTAAATGACGGCGCACTGCAGGTTCTGGCACCCGAGGTAGATGATTTCCATAAGTTGGGGTAGCGTCAGGTGCGATCCGTGAAAAAAGAACCGCTCCGTACGGAGATGTTGCCCCGGCACTGAACCTTGCTTGAACGACTTCCTCTTGGTCGCCTCACGAGTCATCTACACACTCATCTCCACGCGTAGCAACCCACAGATCTAGCGCGGACTTGCAGCGTCATCGCAGCTTCGCACTCTGGACATGCACGAGAACCCAGGAGCAGGCCCATGCCCTGTAAAAAAGTAATTGCTTCAAGAGGCTCTTTCATGGCGTCATGAAGATGGCCCAGGTATAACGCCATGGCACTGCGATGCTCGCCATCGAAAGAATAAAGCGCCGAGGGGGCTGAACGAGCAGAGCTGCGCGCTCCTCTGCATTTATTATTTTGTTTGTTTCGCCATTGTATACATCGTGACACCATTCTGACAGACTCATTGGTTAGTCGGTCGGGCCACAAGATTACGTGACAAAACAAACACCAGTCGTATGACCACAACGGCTGCAAAGGTATCGTTGCAAAGAAGAGAGCAGTCGAACGAAATGAAGTAAAAAAGTTAATAAAATAAAAACGAAGAAGGAAACCGTTGGATGTTGCGACGTCGTTCGCGTAAAACTGACATTGAATGCTGTTATCGACAGTATGGTCGTTTATATAAGCTGAAAGAAACGCAGACCCGAGCACTGATCCATGTTTTTTGATAGCCTTATTTTCTGAATATCTAGAAGGTTTCAATGAACGTCTAGATGTCCAGGGAGGTTGGTGTATTGCATCGAACATTCAAAATTGGACCGGGCTCCTTTGCGTTGACAGTGATGCCATTGAAAGTCCTCTTGACTCCTTAATTTTGTTTTTACTTTTTAATACACTTCACTGAAATGTATTCACGTCCAGCACGTGATTTGAAAGCATGAACTTGCTTTCTGGGAAAGAGGTGGTCCCCTGTCCCCACGCCGGACCCGGAAGATGGGTCACCTAACCTTGGTGGATTCGAAAGAGCCACGGCTTCGCGTGAATCACGTGCAACGCGGTGGATTTGGGCGGCGCACAACCAGTCCAGCGCGCCGTGGCCCGACCGGACCGACCACTTGTTTCGGGCATCCCGTGTTTTATGTACAATCGGCAGGGATTTATGCCGCGGAATTTAGCAATGACATTGCGAAATGAGTCGACGAACGTTTTACATGTGACAAACCAAAAAACATTACAAAA